TTTGTAGTCTTTGATACGTACATTAGCTATTTAGTACGTTATATCCTACAACTATCAAGCCTATCGTAAAAGTTGGTATCGCCAGCTCGACGTCAGTGGACAGAACAACGAAATGTAGTTTTGGGGAGTTACATATGGCACGAGGACTATACCCCTATACACCCCTTATTTCTAAGAGTGTTTCGCCATGCTAAAGGGTCTTGAGCTATCTCTTTCCAAAATTTTAGAGGGTCTTGTTTTCATAAGGTTGTGCTGGAATAACGTCGATATGCTCGGTCTGCTTCCTATACATAGCTTGCAAGCGTCGCCATTGCTGGGTACTGGCGATAATTTCTACTTACTTCTTCGAACTACAACTTCTGCGGTGTGAAACTAACTCGGCGAACCGCACGGTCGTGGCGTATAAAATACCGACATGACCGTGAATGACGTCACATGTAGGCTATGTATAGCCTATTCCCGGAAGTGGCTTCCGGCTGGTGTCATTTTCAGCCTTCGCGCGTATGGCGCGTGTTTTGCTCGCTTTCCAAAGCGACGAACGTGTGCGTACAGATCGCACGCTGGACTGTGAATTTGTAAACATTGGAATGGGGTATAGTACCCGGGTTGCAATTTTAAACAAATAGAAATATGACCACAATGCAATTAAATGCAAAGGTGCAAGCGAGCTGGACAAGAATGACGAAAATAAACCCTGGAGTAGGGGAACCTTGTTCCCCTTCTCCAGGGTTTATTTTCGTCAGAAATATGACGTCGCTCGAGACAGCCCATGCACATAACGACGATCGCCATTTCCAGTTTTGGTGACCGTCTTGGTAGGCATGCATGTCTGCTTTGACCGATGAAGCCCAAAATGGAAGACCCGCCGATGAGCTACGGAAACGACTAGATGCATTCGGTTGCAAGGTGGCAGTGCTGGCACAGTGGGAGCGTACGGGCCCATAGCGGCCACATGACTGGCATGGGGGGCCCAAAGAAGAGCGCATGCAGGGGCCATGAGCCCGTGGCTCGGGCTGCGCGCCCGTTCAACAATGGGCCGGCATGAGTGTCTGCAGCCGCCAGCAGGTTCTTCGAACACAACGTGGTGGGCTTTCGGATGGTCGGTGTCTGCGTGGCCTCTTGTCCCTCTCATCTGCGGTCGCAGCAAAAGTCTTGAACCATGAGCACTGCAGCCAGGGACCTACCCACGCGAAGCGTGTCGTCGGCCCAGTGCCTCATCCGTGAGGGCTACACTGTGGGCAGAACCATTGGCGAAGGCTCCTACTGCAAAGTCAGGTGGGTCTTGCCCGCCTGGAATATGGCGCCCGCTGCAGCCGCCGTAGACCTAGTCGCGAGCGCGCTAGAACCTGGATGGCTCTGTAAAGTGCATTTGTCATTTCTTCTGATTTATTTTTCGGGGAAAATAGAACCAATCTTATTTTTTGCTTCTCTCTTTAGACTTCTCCACTCAATATATTTACTTGAGGCCCCTTATTTTTATTTATCGACGGCATTTTACGGCGGATAAAGAAATCAGGTGCCGAAAATTGCCTTTGAATTGGTTCGCAACTGAAATGGCATAGCGGGCAAATGCCCGCTAAGCTTATTTATCACATGGTGTCCTTGACTGACTGCGACTGATGCTTAGTTATTTGAACAGTGCATGCAAAATCGGCCTCTACAAAAGCAGGTCACACATTTTGTTGGATAATTTACCTTCAGCGCTTCACAATTACTTAACGTGAATTTGTTTGTCGCAGCATACATAGCTTGCAAGTGTCGTCATTGCTGGGTACTGACGGTTATTTCTACTTACTGATTCCTTGGAACTACAATTTCTTAGGCGTGACACTAACAGGGCGAACCGAACGCTCGCGGTACACAAAATACTGGCATGGCCGCGAATGACGTCCCATATGCGAGCTATGTATTGCGTTGACCATTAACCCCGATGCATTTGTACCGCGAAAGCGCGATTGTTGATAGACACGCGAAAATAATTTAGTTCGTAAAACACACTTCTATTTTGCATGTTTTAAAACATGTTTTAACTTTTTTAAAGTTTTTATGAAGGTTTTGTTTTCTTTTAAAAGTCTAACATAAAACAAAAAAAGTCTTCAAGCAGCGGTATCGACAATTCTCGAAAGGCAGCAGAACAAAAATAAATATCTGATAAAACGTAATAAAATCTGTAAGCTCTTTCAACCTCACTTTGTTCCCTATCTTATTTATCAAACTTTTCCCGACTACAACGCTCAGGGGAAAGCCAGCGAGCAACCTTAAACAAATTAAAGCGAATTCCTTACACATTTAGCTTATTTAGGATGGCCGCCGTGAAGCCAGGGTTTTATGGATGTTATAGTCCGTTGCAACTCAAGAAGGTAGGGGGAGGGAAAGGAAGGCCGGGGAGAAGGAAGCAGACGAAGCGCTAACGAAAGGAGGAGGGTTCCCCCTCTCTTCACCAGCGTTCCGTCTGCTTCCTCTTCCCCGGCCTTCCTTTCCCTCGCCCTACCCTCTAGAGTTGCAACGGACTATGGTGCTCCACCACAACCAGTCAAATGCAAACTTTGATAGGGACACCTGTTGTCTTGTAGTTCGACTAATTTGGGAAGCATGTTCTTTCACTTCGAGTCTCGGCGCGTCAACATTTGAACAAGATCAACACAGAAACTAGCATGTCACTTCACTGACTACATACATTTGCAAGTGCGGCCTCTGGGCGCCGTCATCTTGCTGCTGGTATCGGTAGATCGTCTGATAGTTAAGCATTGCTGAGGCCGTGGGTACGCCTCAGCAATGCTTGACTATCAGACGATCTGCCCATACCAGCAGCAAGATGACGGCTCCCAGAGGCCGTACTTGCAAACGTCTATGGTCACTGACAACTTAAGAATCGCATGGCGTAACGAGCCACGAGCATCTTCTGTATGTCCCGCAGCCAATGATATTCTTGCATTTGCCGATAAGAACGCCAAAGAACAAATCACGAACATAATTAGCCCCGACGCCCTGTGTTTTTTAAGCCGTCAACGACTGTGATCGTCTCCCATAGTAAAGTATGGTCGTAGTAAAGCTGGAGCCTCAATCAGCTGAACCTGGGCGCAGGGAGATCTGCAAGGCGCAGGAACGGTACGCGGTCAAAATCATCGCCAAGAACCAGACGTCGTCGGACTTCGTGAACCGGTTCCTGCCCCGCGAGCTGGACATCCTGCCCCGGATCGAGCACCCGAACATCGTCAAGGTGTACCGTATCCTCCAGGTCCGGGAGAAGGTCTTCATTATCATGGAACTCGCAGAACACGGGGACCTTCTGGACCACATTCGAGTGAGCCCTGCCACCCTGCAGTCTGGAGCCCTACACGGACTCCAGACTATACGGCGTGCAACTTCGTCTGCTCGCACTTCGTGATATTTTCATGGCCAGAAATTTGCGACAGGCGCTTCTAGTTCACTTATCGGTCCCCAAGCGGCGTTTTCACCTTTAACTTTTACACCGTGTGCAGATTCCCGCAAAGCAGAGTGTGTGCCGAGTGTAAAAAAAACAGCAACTTCAAAGGTAAAAAAAAAAAAAAAAAATAAAGATGAGATATTAGCCGCGTTTGAATGAATGCGACCTGGCTGCGCCGGAGCCGTTCGGTCCCGGGTCCGGTTTGTCTGGTCGCGGTCGGCGAGGTTTGGCGAGGCGAAGCGTGGTGGCGTCCTCAGAGCGTTTGGAAACGATCTCTCTCTCCAGGGCGTGCGTGCATACGTCGCCTCTGGTACAGAACGGCACGGCGCGGCCCGGCCCGGAGCCCCAAACGCTTGGGCTTTGATGTTTCTTCCAGCTGGCTATGCGGGAAATAAGTCGTCTGCTTCCAGCGCAGGAATAGCGGTGACGTCAGAACGACGCCGAGTTCTGATTGGCTTTGATTGGAAGGATAGTGCGTAGGCCTCAATGCTAGATGCCTTGATGTCTACCCACTATCTTTTTTTGGATTAGCCAATAAGAGCTTGTCATTCTGACGTCATCGCAACCTCTGTGCAAGAAGCAGAGGAACTTGCGCTCCGCATAGGGCATGAAACGTGCGCTATTAGAGAGTTTTAGTAGATCGTTCCTATAACGATACCCTATAACGATACGATAACCATACGATACCGATACACAGAACAGGAATGAGCGTTTAGTAGACCGTTTTGAAGACGATACATCCGATACGGTCACTTAAGGCGCTGGGGCACTCCCTAGTGGAAACGATTTGCAATTTCCAAAACGAAAAATAACGAAATAAAAGAAAGATGTTTCACTGAAGGAAAATTAACAGTTCTTACATTTAATAGAATTAAAAAAAACATCAATTAAGTTTTATAAGTTGCAGAAATTAGAGAAATGCAGCAGCAAGCTACATCTAGCCAACTAAAGACATGCCAATTTAACCCTCCCCCCGTGGCTTGTCACGGGAAGCCATAGAAAGCACGGGTGGCACGGGCGTGAGCGAGTCGAGCGGGTGACCAACCTGAGCCATGGCGACGTGTGTTTTCGAGGATCCCTTGGCCTTAGCTGTTTTGAGGTGGGACGAAATTGAAGAACTCTCCTTTCTGGATATGGAGTACCCCGTTCCGCGGAGGTTTAGGTCCGGGCGAGGCTACTTGGATGTGCTGAACATAGATAGTGAAGCTTTCCGCCATCAGTTTCGTTTTGAGCAGATGGACTTAATGGAGCTGTGTAGCGCGCTGCGAGTCCCTCATACAATTAGGACGGCCCAGAACGTCGCGATCCCCGGGCAGGAAGCTGTGTGTATTCTTCTGCGGAGACTCTCCTACCCCAACCACCTCTGCGACCTGGAAGGCATGTTTGGCCGCCACTCTTCGACACTTTCGAGTGCGACGACCGTGGTGCTAAACCATTTGACGTCCACGTTCGGGCAGCTGACCGCGGATCTGTCAGCTCACACGTGGTTGAACCGTGCGAGCTTGGACGAGTTCTCCGAGGTAAGCATATTGTAAAGTTAAATTAAAAACACAAAAAAGAAAAAAAAATGCAAGTGCGTTGTTGATTTTGCTTTTGCAGGCGGTCCGCGCGAAGGGGGCACCTCTTCAGAATTGCTGGGGTTTCGTTGATGGAACGGCCCGCCCCATCTGCCGACCCACGGAGGACCAGCGGCTTTATTTCTCTGGCCACAAGCGTGTGCACGCCATCAAGTACCAGGGCGTCATGTGTGCCAACGGCATCATCGTGGAGATGAATGGCCCTTACCCGGGACACCGACACGACGCCGGTAAGTCAATAGCAAAAACTCGGAAATCGTAACCTACAGGTTCTTGGAAGAAGCGCTCATAAATAGAGGAACAGCCTCTATCACAGCCAAAATAAGTTGAAACGCCACAGGCAAGACCCGTGCTGCTATCAAGGCAGCCTGTGGAATTGTTCTGCAAACTGTGATGGGCGCCGTGGCCAACACAGAGTTCCTTCTACACTGGCGGCTCACCTCTATATTTCCGTGTCGTCTGCTATTGAGCAAATGGTTGCGACATTTCTTCCTTTCGCCAAACCTCAAAACCCACGCACGATGCAGAATAAATCTTTATTGCAGATCTTGTCGAAAGACTGTGCTTATGATAACACAATAATTGGTAAACGATTTAGTGCCCGAAACACATAGATCGCACCTACAGGAATGTGGTTCGACCTCAGGGTACACCACGTAAAGGGCGTTTTCGTGTTTCAAGGGACAGGGACCGCCAGCTTGCCAGAGCTGCATCGGTGAATAGACCTTTTTCAAAGCACGATGCTGCTGTCCACAGCACCGGGGAGGCGACAGCAAAGTAAGGCGAGCAACTGTGCTATACTTCTTGCTCTCTTCAGTGTCAGGGGGGCAGGCAATGAGGGATTTTTGCAAAAAGCCTATTCCTTCCAATTGGAGTGGGAGCTTCAAGATGACCCGACCATCGAGGCATCCATTTGAACAGAACTGCTGTTTCATAGGCAGAGAACACAGAAGTTCAGGGTGGCACAACGAGCGCAGAAAGGGGTATGTCTTGGCCTCATCGTGCATCACAGTTTGCAGAACAGTGCGGCAGGCGGCTTGGAAAGTACTGCCTGCCTCACATCCTGGCTTTTCAGCTCATCTTGGCCGCGATAGTACAGAAGAAATACTATTTCATGCTTAAATGCTGAAAGTCAAGCTGGTGTCCTTCGGACAGGGAGTTAAACTCTTAAACTGGGGTGGAAAAATAATGTGACAGTACGAAGGGAGGCAAACACTTGTCCCATTGCTTTTTTGTTAAAGGGCGTTGTTGTATAAGCTTGGGACTGTGGAATAAAAGAAGACAAAGCTGAGAATGGATCAGGAATGGCAGTCCTTTACTCCTATCCTAACATGTCAGTTATGACTACTGCAGTAGACCTATTGCCACTGAATGCAGCACTTACCCTTGCGTGGTTACTTGTTTCATTAGGCTGCTTGCCAGAGTTGCGGATAGTTTTCCAGCGTGTTCGATCGTGCAGACGAGAGCCTGCATGCGAGCTGCCAGCTTGGCAGCTCACAAGATCATCGGGCATTCCAGTAAACCAATGCTTCGGTAACCATTAGCCCAGTTATTGAACACATGATGGCAGCAGTCACAGTCGCTGACGCAGTGCAAGACACTGGCCGAACAAGGGCAGCAAGCTAAAACGATGTCAAGCTGGTAACCTAAGACTGTGCCTAACTGCCGTGGTGGGAATGATTTGTCCGCAGAAGTAAAAGTTGAGGGCTTTATGTGCCAAAGTAACGACGGGCGACTGGCACGCACCAGTGGAGGATTAATTTATACCTCCTGGGTATCTTGATGTGCAACAAAAAGCTCGGTTACGACGGCACCTTCTCTGTAATAAGCCTCTATCAGAGTGCTAGCCGCCTCGGTGGCTCCGAGGCGAGAGCGCTGTCCTACGGATCCCCATGTCGCGGGTTCGAATCCCGGCCGAGGTGCCCGCAATCTGACGGAGGCTTATTGCAGAGGAGGCGCCGTGTAACCGAGCTTTCGGTTGCACGTCAAAAGATCCCCAGGTGGTCCAAATAAATCCTTAGTCCTCCGCTGGGGCGTGCCAGATACCCGTCGTTGGTTTGGCACGTAAAACCCCCAAATTTGACTGTTCCATCAGAGTGCTGGCACCTCGGCGGGGATTCGAACCCGCCACCTGAGGATCCGTAGGCCGACGCTTTGCCTCGACCGAGGCGGCTGATGCGTCCACAGCTCTGATGTAAATCCCTTCGCGTTTGAAATGCCAACAAATTTGGATGTTTTCAAACTGGAACATTAAACAAGGTGGCTGTGGCAGTGGCAACAGTACCCTCTGACCTCTAAATTGGCAAAGCCAAACAAGGTCACACAAATCAATGTTTTGCTCTATGCAGTGAGGAAAGGGCGTGTAGATCTTTGTGGCTTATCGACGTGCAGGTGGTGATTGTCACTATATGCTACTCAGTGTTTTATCGTTGTGTCTCGTCTGACTCCTTTTTCAGGTATCCTGCGGCTGAGCGGCCTTTATGAAAGGCTTGAGGACCTCGTGCAGGGCAGCGTATACACGATCTACGGTGACCCTGCCTATCCTTTGCGGCCTTTGTTGCAGAAACCATTCATGGGTGCTAGCTTGACTGCCGCAGAGCAGAACTTTAACAAAAAAATGAGCAGCGTGAGGCAAGCAGTAGAATGGGGCTTTGGGAAAGTGTCAACTCTCTTCGCTTTTGTAGATTTCAAAAAAAATCAGAAGCACAGGCTGCAGCGCGTGAGCGATATGTATCAGGCTGCAACACTGTTAACAAACTGCCACACGTGCCTGTATGGCAGCCAAACCTCCACGTACTTTCAGCTGTCTCCGCCGACGCTGGATGAATATCTTTCACCTCGTTATTGACTTCGTATAATTTGAATTCTTTTTGTGCAATCTTTTTTTCGTACGAGTGCCTATAGTCTGTTGCATGTTGCAACACGAGAGGGTAGGGCGAGGGAAAGGGAGGCCAGGGAGGAGGAAGTAGACGGAACCCTGGAGAGGAGTGGGGGAAACCTCCTCCTCTAGCGTTTCATCTGCTTCCTCCTCCTTTGTCTTTCTTTTTCTCGCCCTACCTTCTTAGTTGCAACAGACCATAGCATTTTTTATGACTATTTATTCCACGGGATGACTTTTGTGCAATTGTCTGGTTGCTTACCTGCTGCATTTCTTTTATCTGCCTCTTGTGTTCTTTTCAAAGCAGCAACCGTGTTCCTATATTGTTTTAGTTTTGTGAACGATACAGGTTTATATGTTAAGTATATGCTATTTCTGTTATTCGTCAAGCGCCTTCAGCTTGACATAAATTTTATCAGCGTGGTGATTTTCAAGTGTCTTATGTTATTGCTTTGCCAGTCATTGCCAACATAGCATTTGCTGTCTGTTCAATATTACACTCAAAATATTTCTTTGTATAGTAAATCGAACGGGCCTACCCCTGCCGTTTTTTTTCAACTACATTGTTTAATGAAATGAAAGATTTATTGCATTATGTATTATGATGTCATACCACTTGTTCACACTTAACTTTACTTGTTAATTTGACCATTCACTACTTTAAGGTAATGTTCTTGCAGTTGGAGACGAAGCCTCCTCTCCTCTGCTCCAGCCTCCTGTAGCACATAAAATTTTTCTCTTTCAAACGCTAAGCGATTTTCGCTTAAGGTCACCTGGCGCTCTTCAATGGCCAGGCGCCTCTCCATCTGGCGCTCCTCCATGGCGAGACGCCTTTCCTCAAGAGCGATCTCTAGTTTTTTTATGCTGCGGTCCTCTTCTGCTCTCTTCTCCAGCGATGCAAGGTGCTCCCTGTACCGCTTCTGCCTGGTTGCTGGAAAAATACAACAAAGGAAACAATGCACACAGCATCAAATAAACAACTTTTTTAAAATTTTTCTTAGTGTGTAGGTTGACAATTGATTGAATGTTTATTTTATTGGACCTGGCAATTCAATGAAGGTACTGCACAAGAAATACTGGGTAATTCATGTGTGTTCAAACAGTGACTGAGATATGTCTGTCTAGTAAGCAAAAAATAACAAATGTAAATCACAGCCCAAGACTTCTGGAGCAGATTTGGAGAATTTCTACAAATGGGGTTATGTGTATCCTCTTTCAAAAGTTTAACGTATGCTTGAAGCATCTACTGAAAGATGGCAGTGCTTACCCTGTCCGCCCCAAGTCCTAGGTCGTGCGACAGAAGTAACCGGCACACGAGCCTGGACTGGTGGCAAGGGGGGTTGGACCAACGGCACAGGGGTCGGAACCGGCGGCACAGGGGCTGGGGCCAGCTCCACAACTTGGTCTGTGTTGCCTGGTTGCCAGGCGTCGGCGTCCTCCACGCCGTTCATTATGTCAGCAAAGATAGACTGGCAGTTCTCAGAACCTGTAAATAGAGTATTCCATAAATATTTGTGGTGTATCATGACACACGCTGTGGAGCTGGGCATTGAAAATGTATGAAAAATACAACGCAGGTATGATGGAGTCAGATCTTCAAAAGACCATTCCAAAATATGTAGTGCCTCTTATCGTTTCCTCGACACATCACGACACTCCGATGTGCGGCGCGTGAGGGAAAATGTTCCATGAATAGAAGAAGCTGTTCATGCCGGCTTAGCATTCTGCATTTTCTGAATGCCTGAAACATTAATGTATGTTTAGAACATACATTAATGTATGTTTAGAACATACCTAATCAGAACTCGGCAGTTTACTCAAAGCTGTGCTCTGGGAACTACAGATGTACCCAAGTAAATTACACTTTTACTTGAGAGCAGCAGACCATGTAAGTCGTCCTCAGTAGGCTATTCGATGGGAACTCGCGAGTAGCCTAATATCAGTCGTAGACAAACGCGATTGATGGAGCGGTCATGACGACCTGACTTTCCTAACCAGGTGGGGTTCATGACGCACGTGTCATACTTACTAGACTGCCCTGCCACTGCATTATGATTGACCGGTCTGTACTCGGCTGCAGCCGCAACAACTCGCGCTGTAGTGGCAGCATCGCGAGCAGCCCGATTTGTCGCCGGCCTGGTTGTGGTGGCTGTGGCACGTTCCCGCGGTTCCAGCGCAGCGGTGGAGGTGGTGGTGGCACCTTCCTCGGTGGCTGTCGCCTTCCTGAGCACTGGCTTAACCTTGTAACAAAATTCACAGGCCAGGTCAGCAACATCCTGCAGCAGCTGCTTTTTTTCGGTGTACTGCTCTTCCGTTCCGGATCTAAGGGTTTCAGGGGGAGAGCGGTATCAACAAGTGCGCCTGTCTTCCTCAAGCGTAGATCTGTTATTTCAGTCAACGAACATGAGTACATCTCCGTGTCGGGAAAGCTGCAACGCGAACTCGGTAGTTTGAAAACGCGCTTTCCTACGCGAAATGTCTAGCGGCACAGGCATGTGCGTTTCCAAACAACAAGCTCGCGCTAGCTCGCAGTTGCGCTAGCTGTTGGACAGGGTATGACAGTATGCTAAAACTAAGTGCCTCAATGTCCTTCTGTTTAGGGTGATGCCATCGTTGGTAGTACCCGATGCCGACAGCACGCGCTCACAGGAAAAATACAAAGAAATCGCAGGAAACAAAATGTCGCCGTAGCACAGTCAGCACCACGAGCGCGTGCAGGGACATGCACTTTCACGCGCTTCAGAACAAAAAAAAAAAATAAAAATAAGCGTTCGAAACAAAATGACCAGATGTCATCACGCCAAGCAAAGCGCACATGAAGGCACCCCAGCTAAAACGCTTCTGAACTTTCAAACGGGACTCAAAAACGACTTACTTTCTCAAGTTTGTGCGGTCGTCTCGCTTGAACAGACCGAGCAGCAGGTCGCAGCGGTCTCTCACTCCGCGAACACTGAAGTTCCTCCCCAGTGCTTCATTTAGGTTCGCGGCCACTGTATCCCACCGTGAAGAATTCACAAACGGATTCACCGCAAGCACTTCCCTTAAAAGGAGGATATCCTCGATGATCGTGAATCGTTTTTGACCCGCTTGGGCAGAAAGAGGCTCGAGTGAAGCGGCCATGATCGTTCAGCTTTTGCCGGATCTCGTCAACTCTCGCGATGCACGAGAGTGCGCGCGATATTTCCCGATATTCCCGATACCTGCGCCCGAAACACCCGATACTCTAGCGCATGCGTGATGGCTCCGGCGCAGTATCGGGTATCGTTATCGGAGTGAGAAACGATCTACTAAAACTCTCTATTGTCACTGACTGATTCCGTACAGGACGTATCTAAGGATGGATCGTCAGCTGATGTATTTGAGGCACATAACTTCTACGCGATGATTTCTATCCACTTGCCGCCTGGTGCAATGTTTTCACCAATAAAAAGAGCCGTTGAATTTAGAACGAAAAATAACCGTTTAATGAGGCAAATTGTGCCTAAAACCATAAAGGGAAAGGTGCCACGCATATTGTGTCGGCGACGGAAGGGTGACTGACCCGAAGCAGCGCGTTATCGATACTTTCACAGACGGGTCACGTTCAGGAATGTTCTGAACAAGAACACTGGATGGCAGTCGAGAATGCGCTGGAATTTCTTAGGAGAGCACAGACTTATTCAAATAAGGATCCGGGCCGAATGGGATTTGAACCCCATTCCTCTACGTGACAGCCGTACGCGTTGCCAACTCCGTCATGTACGGGACAATATCGCCTATACCTCGTTTCGCCTTCCAAACGCAGCAGACGCTATATACGAGCTGATGGGACCAATCAGAGAGCGTCAAAAGTGCACCGTCATAGTGTTCGTCGCGTTTCTGTACGTATTATATATCCTTGCTAAACAAGTCGTAAACAGAAAAGGCCCAGTGACTTGCGCTTTTGAGGCTGCTTGATTAATCCCATTAGCCCATAGCGTCGGCTACGTCTGCACTTGAGCTGAAACGAACTATCAAAAACTACACTCTTAAAAAAGAAGCTCGTAGTATTTACTAGGTAAAAGCTAGTAACCGCTTGTTACATATATTTCTAGGTACGTAGTAACCGTAGATAGTAACGATCAAGCTAGTAACGGTCACTAGATCAAGAAGCTAGTGCCTATTACTAGCCCCAAAGTAGAACCATTGGAAGAACACGTGTATTTCACTACCTCTAACTATAGTCGGTGACAGGTTAAGAACGAAGTGGAAGCTCCTCCCACCCCTCTCACCTTTGGCAGAGCGAACGCTGGAGACCGAGGCGACCTCCTCTCCAGCACTGGCTCCCTAAAGTAGAAAAAGGTGGCAGGAGCTTCACCTCCCGACAGAAGACCGGAAACGCAACGAGTCACGTGATTTCCGGTAAAAAAGGCGAGTGTTGTTATATTACCACCAGATGGCAAGCGCAACAAAAATTAAAACTGGAAATGAGTAATCCATTATCATTCCAACGCTTCTCTGAAAGCCAAACAATTCCTTAGCCCCTCTTTCACTTGTCCCCGCATCAATCCCAGTCTTAAAGTTGGCATACCTCATTGTGAGACTTCAGCTTACTTACTGTAGTGGACGGGTTTGAGCCGAGGCGGCCGAAGTGACGGCCAGAGCCGAGGGCCGCGGAGGAAAGAGTGACACAGCTGACGCTCCGAGTGCTCGGACGGAAAAGGCCCTGTTTATTCATGCACGCCCTTTTTACGTACACCCTAGAGGGCGCCCCGTAGCTCACTGCGCCTACACGCCCTCTACATCCCCCCTTTAGGGAAAACAAACAAGAGCCACACTTAGCTCCGAAGGAACGTAATGAATGACCTAAGCCATATGGTGCGCTACAAGTTCAGCCGCACCGGTGGCCTAACGCAGCGTCCAGACCTAGTGCGCACACCCGCCGCAGGCAGTCTTGAGGGAGCAGCAGGAGACCCCTCTGGTGATGCAACTGGTAGAGGACTAGCTGCCCTGGGAGTGGGACTGCTGCCCGCAGGCTCTGGGCG